ATTTAATTGACAGACACAGATCACAAGTAGGCAGAGAGGCAGGCAGAGAGAGAGGAAGGGAAGCAGGCTTCCTGCTGAGCAGAGAGCCCAATGCGATGCGGGGGCTCGATCCCAGCACCCTGGGATCACAACCTGAGCCGAAGACAGAGGCTTAACCCACTGAGTCAGCCAGGCGCCCCTCTGCACCTATTTTAAATAAAAGCTGTATTGCCCTTGCCCTGTGGTCTCCCCCCTTGTCCCCTGCCCTGGAGGAGAAAAGGACTAATTTCTGTGAGCACCTACTGTGTACCTGGCACTCTGTGAAGGCACGGTGCTGCCAAGCCTTTGGGACGGACACAGTGGCTGCGTTAGCAGATGGTCAAACCCCAGGGGAGGGGCTGCGCAGGCAGCCTGGGCTCTGCTCTTCCAGTTGTGGCTGGCGCCCTGCCTGCCTCAGGATTATGGGGTCAGGAGAGGGCAGCCCAGGGCTGTGGACCCATGCACGAGATGACCTCCCCTTCATGGACTTCTCCTACACAGTGGTCACCATCTAACAGAGCCCCCGAGGCATGCTCCCATTCCCCACGCCCTCGCAGGGACCCGTGGCTCTTGCAAAATCTCCGGGGCTTACAGGAAGGGGGCGGGTAGGGGCTGCCAGCAGTTTTGTCCCTTTCTCCTTAATGGAGACCAATGTTACTGGAATCCCAGTGTGACAACTCACCCTCTGCTGTCTGTCCCCGCCTCCCCCAACCCCACCCCCAAACATGCATGCACACACACACACACACACACTGGGGCAGAGGATAGCCATTTCCTCCCTCAGCCTCACTCCCCTTCCTCTGTCTACCCTGTGCGGTGCTTCATTGCCTCCTGGGCAGGCTGCCACCGGGAGCTGACTGTCTCCAGGGCCGGAATCCCGTGCTCCTCCTGTGCCCAGGTAAGGGGGAAGTAGCCCAGGGGCTGGGCAGCATCAGTGCCCTCTCTGCACCCACAAAGGAAGGTGCAGATTTGCCGGGGGAGATGCCCCTAACAACTAGGCAGAGAGATGGGTTTACCGAAGACTGGAGGGGAAGAGCTGCTGGCAGATGGGAAGGTGCTAGAAGTCAGGCGCAGTGGTAAACCACAGAAGCTTCTCTCCATACTCACAAGCAGTCTGGGGCGGGGTGTCAGGGGTAGGACTACAGGCACAATCTTAGGACAACTGACCCCAAAAGCTTGCATTCTCTGCCCCGGACCCCCACCAGAGCAGGACCCTAGCTGCTGGGCTCCCAGAGAATCCCAGGAGGCTGGGCGCTGGCTCCCTGCAGCCAGAAAGCCCAAATTGGATGGATCCGCGGGGTGTAGCAGGACTGTGCTCTGCGAGCAACCCCAAGGGACCTGGCTAAGAGGCTGCTGGACTGAAGGGAATGTCCCTGCAGAGAGGGGACGGCACTCATCTGTCTGTTGGGTAGAGTCTCAGACGTTGCTAGGCTTCTCTGAGCCTCGGTATCCTCTTCTTGAAAAATGGGGTCTCACTGGGTCACTGTGGGTGCGACTGCTCAGCAAGGTCTAAAGCTTAGGAAGCATGAGCCTGCTTGGGGAGCACAGGCCCAACTGTTCCCCACTCGCCTAACTGTGATCCCTAGCTCCAAGGGCTCGGCTGCCTGGAAAAGTCTAGTTTGGATGTCCCGGGGCCTCACCTCACAAAGAACTGTGGTACCCGGAGAAGAGTCTGGGTTTTCTCGTTCTGGCCAACAGTGTTTCCCCTGGAAATGTGAGCGCTGAAGACCACCTCTCCACCCCCCACCCCTGGGCTTCTTCCTCCATCCTCCATCGGCGCTTGCTTATAGCCGCCTGGTGTGGGAAACTGAACAGGCTGAGCACCACACTGCTGCCGCTCCATTCGTCCATGTTGCGTGGGTGGCCCGGGCCTCAGTTTCCTCCCTCGTAAAAATAGGACGAAGTGAAGTTCCAGCACCTTTCTTCTCGAGTCCTGAGCAAGAGAGCACCTATGCAAAGGGCCTATCACGGTCTTGGGCACGTTGTGGGGCCCCAGGACAATCTGAGTCTCTAACTTCTGCTCCCCGTCCCCTACCTCCTGCCGGTAGCCTCCCACCCCTCCACCTCTGCCCTCACCCATCTCAACCAGCTTCATATCAGGTGGACTCGGGTTTTTTTATGAGGCTGGGGGGGTGTGCACATCTGCCAGAGGCTGGCTTCCCCAGCCCTTACCTGAGAAGTTCCTGAGTAACCATCTGCCCAATGAGTGCATCACTGAGCAAACAAACGAGCCGGCTGGATTTCCCCCGGGGCGGGGAGATGGGCTCGGCTGCCCCCCAGGCAAGGGAACAGTCCTCCAGCCCCACTGGGCCCCAGTCTGGTAGTTCCTCATGCCCAGCTCTCTCCTTGCTCTTATCTTATTTCCTCTCCAACTACCAGAGGAGGGGCTGGCTTCATGGTCGAAGGTCAACACACCCAACCTGCCACTGCTGTGGGAGCAGAGGGCCACCCAGACAGGCTGCAGAGGCAAGATGGGAGGGTGCACCCGTGGGTGCGGAGGGTGCATCCCTTAAAGGCAGAGACTTCTCCCACTCCCATTCCCCAGGCCGGCTGACCCCTGGTGCCCTTCAAGTGGGACCTCGTTTGTGCCCTAGTGCTCTGGGAATGGGGAAAAGGAGTCCTGCTGGGCCTGGCCTCGTTTCCGTTTCTCCATGTGACTCCAGGGGACACCTGATTATTATTAACAAGACGTATGTAGTGTTTCCTGCACACCCCGGGACTCTGCTCTAAATGCTTATGTATGTAAACTCACTGAACACTCCCAACAGCCCTAAGAGTCCTGTTAGGGCAGACATCCGCATCACAGAGGAGAAAATAGGCTCAGGAAGGTTCAATGGCTCAAGCAAGGTTGCAGTGAGCGGGCGTGCAGCTGGGATGCTATTCCCCCACCTTGCTGTCTCTGCTCAAGTTCACTGATCCCTGGGCGGGGGGCAGGGGCGCTCCTCTATCCCACTCACCGGTAGGGTTCAGATTTCCTGTGGAGGGTCCCCTGCTGCCCCTGCCCAGCCGACCTCAGCGCCTCCTTCTCTCCACCGCAGAGCTCACCATGTCAGCCAACGTCACCCTGAAGCCGCTCTGCCCGCTCCTGGAGCAGATGAGCCGCATCCAAAGCCACAGCAACTCGAGCATCCGCTACATGGACCACGCGTCCGTGCTGCTGCACGGGCTGGCCTCGCTGCTTGGCCTGGTGGAGAACGGACTCATCCTCTTCGTGGTGGGCTGCTGCATGCGCCAGACCGTCGTCACCACATGGGTGCTGCACCTGGCGCTGTCGGACCTGCTGGCCACCGCCACCCTGCCCTTCTTCACTTACTTCCTGGCCGTGGGCCACTCGTGGGAGCTGGGCACCCCCTTCTGCAAGCTGCACTCCTCCATCTTCTTCCTCAACATGTTCGCCAGCGGCTTCCTGCTCAGCGCCATCAGCCTGGACCGCTGCTTGCAGGTGGTGCGGCCGGTGTGGGCGCAGAACCACCGCACGGTGGCCGCGGCCCACCGGGTTTGCCTGGTGCTCTGGGCCCTGGCAGTGCTCAACACGGTGCCCTACTTCGTGTTCCGGGACACCATCCAGCGGCTGGACGGCCGCATCATGTGCTACTACAACGTGCTGCTCCTGAACCCCGGGCCCGATCGCGATGCCACGTGCAACTCGCGCCAGGCGGCCCTGGCCGTCAGCAAGTTCCTGCTGGCCTTCGTCGTGCCACTGGCCATCATAGCCTCGAGCCACGCGGTCGTGAGCGTGCAGCTGCGCCACCGAGGCCGCCGGCGGCCCAGCCGCTTCGTGCGCCTGGTGGCGGCGGTGGTGGCGGCCTTTGCGCTCTGCTGGGGGCCCTACCACGTGTTCAGCCTGCTGGAGGCGCGCGCTCACGGCGACCCCACGCTGCGGCCGCTTGTGTGGCGCGGCCTGCCCTTCGTCACCAGCCTGGCCTTCGTCAACAGCGTGGTCAACCCGCTGCTCTACGTGCTCACCTGCCCCGACGTGCTGCACAAGCTGCGGCGCTCGCTGCGGAGCGTGCTGGAGAGCGTGCTGCTGGACGACAGCGAGCTGGGCGGCCCGGGCAGCAGCCGCCGCCGCCGCTCCTCCGGCCCCCGCGCACCCCGCGCCGCCCGCGCCGCCCGCGCGCCCCCCCGTGTCCTGGCCCGCGCGCCTGCTCGCCTGGGTGCGGGGCGGCGGCGCAGAGTCCACACGGAGGGCCAGCTCCCGCTCCCTGGACAGGGCGCTGAGCACCACATCTGGGTAGAGGATGGCGAGGGGGTGGGGGGGCCGGGGGGCCGGCGATTCAGCGCGAGCCCATCCCGCAGGCGGGGGCAGGCCGGACAGGGAGCTGCCTGTAAAACACCTCCGGTGACTCGGTTCCCCTCACGACCATCAGCGGGAGGGAGCCGGCCGAGCTCCCAGGAAGCAGGGCAGCGCTGCTGGTCAGCGGACCCCATGAGGACCAAGGCAGGATTAAATCCACAAGATTTCTCAAACTAGGGTGCAGGGAATGCCCTTCCAGGAGCGCAACTTTACCAGACGGCGGGAGGGGAAAGGGAGGGAAGGAAGTATTTTTCCATGAAACCAGGGATGCGTTTTGGAGTAGATAATGGAGAACAAAAGTTTGGGAAGTACCGGTCGGGTCTAACTCTCCATGTAGTCACCAGCCAGCGCTCACTGAGCTGGCTGCCTAATCCCGCAGTCTACCCACCATACAGCCCCAATACATGGGATTTATCCGCTTGACCCAAGTATAGCGTCTGCATACTCACGAGTAAGCATCATGCGGTTCGATTACTGTCTAGTAAGTGAAACAACACTCCCTCCGCCCCCAACATACCCGCGGTACTGAAGGTCTTGGCTGTGAGAGGCCTGGTCTCTACCCCACCCATCCAGCACCAGCAGAGGGGTTTCTAAGGTAGAAAGAACTAGGGCTACAGCGGTTGGTCTGGGCTAATCCAAGTGCAGTGGGCATCTCTGCTGAAGGTCTTATCTGCGCACAGCAGCCTCTGAGACCACAGCGTATGACATTTCCTCAAGAATCTGACATCTGTACAGCCCTGGTATTTCATGGGGTGCCCTCTGGGCAATGCTGATAATCCCCAAATCTTTCCAATGCCCACCTCCCAACCACACAGAAGCTGGGCGACTGTCCCAATCTGTAGCAGCGAGGGCTCAGTCGGACCTCCGTACAGCACATCCAACTCTCCTCTGCCCACCACACACTAGAGGACAAAGACCACTGCACTTGGGTCTGTCCCTGGGCCCAGGGGCAGAACTGTGGCTGGTAACTGGTTAGTGGAATGCCGGTCCACTGTGGGAGCACGTCTGGGGTCCTGAAGGCTGGGCTGGCCGGCTTACTGTTCATCACCGCACCGGGCCTTGCTCAGCAGGAGCTCAGCAGTTGGACGGATCGGCCGCTGGCCGAACCAACATCCATCCTCACACCTCCCCATGTTCCCTGCTACCTCCCCCCTTGCTTCACTCTTGGCACTTCCCACTGTTTAACTCAATACTGTTTCCCTGTTTATTATGTTCTTTCCATCAGAATGAAAGCTCCTTGGGGGCTGGGGCCTCTGTCTGTATTCCCCGGTACCTACATTTGTGCCCGTACAAAGCGGGCGTCCAATAAATGTTTGTTACAGACAGGATGGCGTGAGTGAATCAGATCTGTGGGTCTCCTGCAGAGTCCGGCACAGGTGAGAGGGAGCTGGGGGGCGGGGGCGGGAGGTGCAGACCTCACTTCCTGAAACCTCCTTAACCTTTCAGTGTTGAAAAGTCGGGGAAGCCGGGTTCAGCTGGCCGGGTGACCGGGCCAGTGGGCTGCAGAGACACCCCAAGGAGCCTTTGGGATGGTGTGAGGGAGACTGGTTCCTGACTACAGCCTCCTGGCCTGGGTTGGACCCATGACTTTGAGACAGAAATACACATTTTAGGGAGTCACCCTCCAGTTGTCAGCTCCCAAGGAACCAGAGAATTTACCCTTCTTGGCTGCAAGGCACTTGAGGAAGGAGGAAAGGGGAGGAAGGAGGCGGGGGTGGGGCTGAACCTCTTCCCTCCTCCAGTCTCTGCCAGGCCCCCGGGTTCCTCCGGGCTTGCGTGCCCTTGAAGGCTCAGAAGCCCCCTGGGGCAGGGCGGCATGGCGCTAGAGCTGGAGGGTCGTGGCCCGACAAGTGTGAGTCTGACACAACAGCTGGCCGCAGGCCTCTGGGCCGCCGCGCACTCAGATCTTGGCCGCTGGCCCCTGGGGTGGCTGCTTCTGCAGCAGTGCCAGCGTGTCCCGCTTCTGAATGGAGCGAAGCTGCTTCTTCTTTGCCCGCTTGAGCTTGGCAGGGTTTCGGATCTGGGGGTGGTGTAAGGAGAGGGCATTAGTGTGGTTGTCATCTTTGCCCTGTGCCCTGGGGACAGGGAGGCCACCTCGTGGGGGTGGGGGGGGCCGAGGCATCTTGAGCACAGCGCCTAGCCCAGCCACAGTTCAGATCCCCCAAGCAAGGCAACACTCACCACTTGGACAACCTCTGCCCTCCGCTCATTCTCCAGGCGGCGTTTCAGGTTCTCCGCCCGGCGCTGTTTCTTCTCCTGGAACAGAGGCAATGGGGATCTGAGCCTGGGAATTGGGGCAGCCCTGGTCTCTTAGGCCTCAGAGGAGTGAGAGCTGGCTGAGTTCCCAAGGACAGCAAAGACCCTCTCGCCCCGGTGCGACTGTTGCTGGCGGTGTGGGCCAGTGAGGTGATATGCCCTTGGCCTGGACTGCGCCTGAGACAGGAGGATGGTGGGTGGGAGGAGGTAAGACACAGGTGTCTCCCCACCTGGAAACTCAGGCACACGCACGACGGCCCCTACACCATGTCCCCCATCAACTTCCAGGGGGGAAGGGGTGGGCTGGCGCTTTCCCTCAGTCCCACCCTCTCAGGGTCTCCTAAGGTTCATCCAGGTGTGGGGCTGGGGGGTGGGGGGAGAGTGGAGGCTACGGGGAAGAGGCTACTGGGCTATCTGGCCCTGGTTCAAATCCCAACTCTGCTGCTTCCAAATGAGTGACCTTGGCTGAACTGACAAGCTCTCTGGACCTCAAGCCCCATCTTGAATGTGAAGAGGCTTCCACAGAGCTGTCCTGAGGAATAAGTAAACACACGCCTATACCAGCCTCGGGGGATAACCTGGCCCGGCGGGCACACTTCAAACATGGATTCACTGGGGTCTGTCTTGGGCGTGGGGAGTCCAGCGGCTCTGGCTGTGCTGACTGCTGTCCTGGGGTGGCTGGGGCCGGGGGGCAAGTGGGTGTCGGCTCCGAGGTGCCTGCATGGTCAGGGGCCTCTCCCGGTTTTGACGACTCAGGGGAGAAGGGGTGGCCTGGGCCCCTGGGGAGGAGAAAGGAGAAGTGAGATTTGGGCTCCTGTCCGGGGAAAGGCCTGTCTGGGGGTACTGCCAGGGGATGGTGACAAGAAGTCTGTCTTGCCCAAGAGGTAGTCAGGGCCGCACAGGAAGTAAGATAAGGACTCGGCACACAGCAGCAGCCACACAGGCAGCAGGGCCTTGGCCACAGCTGCACAGGGTGACTCAAAGCAGGGGACAGATGACTGAATTGACTGGCCCAGCCCCTTCCCTTGGTGGCCAGGCTCAGGGTGAGGGGTCTGACTCCTCCTGTGCCCTTCGGATCAGTAGACAAGTGACATCCCTCTGACAACCGCAGTCCTGAAGGGGTGTTGTGGAGGACCCCAGGTTCTCTGTGTGCTGCCTGCTGGGGCTTCCTGGAGTCTGAAGGGGGGTTGGGGGGGGGTACCTCTAATGGGGCATTTCCGGCCTGCGGATCAGCAGCAGGGAGGCAGCTGGAGGAAGGTATGCGGTATCCACTTTGTTGATGTGTGGTGGCTGTCTCTTGAGGAATGACGGCACCAGTACCAGGGAAAAGGCTCTCCTACCTGACTGACGACCCTGAAGCCCGTCTCACCAGATGCTTCCATCAGCAGTGAGGGCCACTGCGGGGAACTTGGTCCGGGGCTCCTTCCCACCCTTGAGTCTCTTATGGAGCCCTGGGCTAAACTGGGCGCCGCACTGGGCTTCCCCACATCGTGGTCCTAGACGGCACTACTGCTTCTGGCCAGGCTCCCCGCTGCCCCAGGTCCATTCCAGCAGTCACTGGCTCAGCCCCCTGAGCTCTAGCCTCAGCCCAGGTGGCTGGTTCCTCACCTGCCGTCGTTTCTCCTTCTCCTCCTCTAGGTGCCGGGCGAAGTCCTTGGCCAGCTTCCTCTCCTGTCGCTCCTTCATCTTCTGCTGCCAGGATGTGCGCAGGGGCTTGTCCTGCACCATTTGGGAGAACCTGGATGGGAGACAACGGGTGCTCGTGTCGTCCGCGGGAGGCGCCCATGCCCACTCTCCTCTCAGCTCTGGGCCTTCCTCCCCAGAACCCAGGCAGAATTGCATCCTTCCCTGCCTGTTTGCCAGGCAGTCACCCCTCCAGGTCTGCAGGTCTAAAGCCCTAGTTACGTGTCCCTAAGATGGGTGCTCTTGTTCCTCCCATTTTAAAGAGGAGCAAACCAAGGCTCAAAGAGGTTAACTGCCCAGGTCACCTTCTACCTGAACAGCCATCAAAACCGAAACCCGTCTGTCACCAGAGTCCAGACCACGGAGCCTTTCCAAGGTTCTGCTGCTTCTGCCAAGCAAGCTCAGCTTGGGCGCTAATGCTAGGGTTCTCTCCCTCTGGGGGTGGCCCGTTCCATTCCAGAACAGTGTGGGGAGGTATGTGAAAATGTACTGGGCATGAGAGGATATTGGGGGACATCCTAATTTTCATAAGAGCAGCACTGCCAAGCAGAACTTCCTGTGACGATGGAAAGGCTCACTATTCACTGTCTGGTAAGGCAGCCCCTAGTCACACTGGCAGCTAGAAACTTGAGATGTGGTTGGTGTGATGGGAGGAATTGAATTTTTAGGTTTTTAAATTTTTATCAACTTACATTGAAGTTGCCACCTGTGGCTGGAGGCTACGCTATTGGGACAACACAGCGCCAGAGCATCGGTTTTACCGGGAGGTTGAGGGCAGAGAGGCCTGGCTTTCAAGGCCGGGATCTGCCTCCTACTACTTGGGTGACCTTGGGCAAGGAGCTGGAGTTTCAGTGACTTCCCACATTAAACAGAAATGAGAATGGTTCCTGTTCCAAAGGGTGGTGGGAGGATGATACAAGGCTGGAAAAGCATTTAGCACAATGCTCTGCACAGGGGAGGAGCTTGTAAACCCCGGCCTTCAGAGGAGGGAGATGGCACACCCAAGGAGCACTGTGCAGGTGGCATCTGGCCTGAGCTCGGAAGAGGGGGCAGCAGCCGGGCTTTCCCAGCCTACTGTAGGTGCTGTGTCCACTGTCTCTGGGCTCTGCTCACCACCTGCCAAAGCTGCTTCCTCGAAGACCCTGAACGTCAATTCAATGGGCCTTTGGCCCTTATCCACAAGACCATCTGAGGCTTCCAAATGTGTTTTAGTTCTACCATAGCCACCACTTTACTGGTCTCTCTGCTTTCACCCCTGACGTCCTACTGTCTAATAACCCGATTTCTCTGCATAGCCTTGAGTTCCCCTTATGTAAAATCCTAGCATCAGCTGCTTCATAGAGATGCATGCAGATTCAATGCCATGAGGCATGCTGGTCCCTCTGTCTGCAAGGCCTTTCCCTGTCCCATCCTTACCAAGAAGCTCAGCAGGGTTCCACACGCTCAGTGCTCCATAATACTTTCTAACACAGGGCAAATACCTGTGGTGGATGCCAGCTGGTAAAGACCTCATAGCTTTTTATCAAGTTACGGCTGGTTTACCTGCTTCTGCTTCCCTCACTGGAAAGCAGGGAGACAGAGGTAATGCTTGTTGAATGAATACGTAACTGAGGTGCTCTAGGAGAGGTACACAGGTACTCTGAGGAGGAAAGCATCACAGAAATAACCTCTGAGGGCTGGTCTCACCCACCCTGGGATCCCAGAACATTTTACCACATCCTGATTATAATTACCTGTTTGTGTGAGACCCCCCACCCCCAAATGTGAGCTCTCTTCATCCCTGGTCGCATCACCAGGTTGCACTGGTGCCCCAACACCACAGAGAACCACACTCCTGTCCAACTGTTCCCAGCTTCACCTTTTCTTGGAGCGGTCCTTCCACACCCGCCCCGATTTGGGCTTTCCCATAGGGATTACAGGAACCTCCTCCCCCTCCTTCAACTTCTTGGACGCTGGGGTCTGGGCTGAAGAGCTTGTCCTCTTCTGCGCCCCGAGGCTGCTTCGCACCGTCTTCCAGGCCGGAGGTGGCTTGTTCGGCACGCGCTGACCCCGGGGGGAGGCGGGTGACTGGGCTGTCGGCTCCTGGAGTGGCCGCGAGGGCTCCGGACCCGGCGCTTGCTCAGCCAGGTAAGGCTCAGGGGATCCTGGGCGCAGCTGATGTCGGGGAGACCCCGAGGCCAACTCCTTCTTACTCAGTGACAACTCCGAGTCCAGCTTTTCCTGGGTCTGGGAGAACTCTGTGGACTCCCCACTTGGCTTTGGCTGAAATCCGGGGAGTTCTGGACCCGACTCCGGAAGTGTTTGGAGCGACTCCAGGCCTGGGTTCTGCTGGCGCTGGAGGGACAGTGGGCCCGGCTCCGGCTCCCTTCCGGGTGCCCCCAGACCTGCACCCTGCGGTAGAATAGGTGACCCCGGGCTTGTCTCCGGCTGACGTCGGGGGGACTCCATGCCGGGTTGCTGAGCACTCGGAGACTCGGGTTCCCTCGTCTCTTCCGGGTCCGACTTGAACTCCACAAGGGCCCGTCTCGCCCGCAAAACTGAGCTGGGGGTCTCGGGGGATTCAGGGTTTAGGCCTTCCAGCCTCCGGCTGCGCCTGAGCGGCGTATCCATGGCGGGTCCTGAAAGTTGCCAATTTCAGCCCACGTGCAGCCTCCACCTTCTGGGGGACGACCGGCGCGGTCCTATGACGTCAGGAGCCGCCCTGCGTGAGGGAGGAGGGGCCGTTGCCGGGGAGACCATGTTGGTGATGGGCAGAGAGAGCCGGCTGGGCTTACAAAGCGCGTGCGCAAAGCGCTGCGGCGCATTGACTCGCTGGGGAGATCTAGCTTGAGGTCTGCGTTTTTCTTTCGTGCAAACTCATTCTCCGTGGTGAAAAGAGTGCGCAAGTAGAGAAAGGAAGGGGGTGGGGGGCCCACTTCAGGGAGAGAAGAAGATTGGAAAAAGGTCCATGGAAACTTTCTTTGGGCCTCGGTTTTCTCATTGGTGATACGGGTAATTCTGCACAAGCTTAGTGTATCCAACGTGATTCTCTCAGAGTCCTCTTATCTGCCTGAGATCATGCTACCGGGCGAATCCTGGAAGCGGGAAATCTCTTAAGGCTTGAGTTATATGTTACATGTAACCCCTTCCTTCCCTTCTCCCATCATGCGCTTAAATATAGAATCTACAGCTCTCTCTTTTCAACATTTACATCATTCATGCCTGAAGCTGAAGTGCTTATCCTTTGGTAAGATGCACTATCTTTGTGTCCTGGACCATTCAGCCCCAGTTCTGGAAAGAGCGATCAAATCATCACTGCCCTTCTTTTCAACCAAGACAGAGCTCCCTGCCCCAGCGTGTGAGCCAGCCAGCCTTTTCCCCTCTGCGTGAGACCCAGGAGAAAGTTTTGATTCACTCACAGCATGTATCTGAGGAAGGAAAGAACGTCTTGGAAGCTGCCCAACCATATCCCAGTGCTTTTCAGTGTTTTCTTAGAACTGCCGGGGGATGGCCCTCAGGGATCCCAGGACCCCTGTCCAGCTGTCCCAGGGACTTCTTTCGTAAACTGCTGTTTCTCCAACTGAGGGGTTATGAGAGGGCCTGGGAAGCTGTCCAAGGGTGTTCAGGGGACAGAGAAAGAAGGCGGGCCAGACAACCAGGCCCTTAGCCTGTCTTCAGGGGAGATGCCTGCCCCTACCTGCTAAGTCACTCCACTACTGACACTGAGCAGGAGTGAGGTCAGATTGCCCCCCCCCCCCACCATGTCTGGAGTGCTGATCAAGGAGGAGGTGAGGAGGAGGAAAACCCAGGCAAAGGTTCCTGGAGAACGGAAAAGTGGGCTGAGAATCCCTTAATACCTCTCGCCCCTGGGCTGGTGCCACATTACCGAAAGGGCACCCTGATGAGTTCAGCCTGTTGAAATCACCTGCCTAAGGGTAAGGCGATGGCACCTCTTCTCCACTGTCCCTTCATGTCGTCGAAAATAGTTGCACCCCTGTGTAGTAATCACGGGTCAGCCTCCACCTTTCTGGCCCTTCTCTGAAGCTTCGTCTGTAGGCTCAGTGCCCTCCTCCTGTTCCTGGGCTATGGAGAGCCCGGCAGCTCAGCTTCCCACTGCAGAAGCAGCTAGGATCCCTCCTTGCTCAGCTCTCCTAGTTCCCAGCTCTTGGTTCCTTGAATTCTCTGCTGCAGCCTGGAGGCCTGAACGGCCTGCCACTCCAAACCAAGCCCAGTGTGCATTACCAGGAGGGCTGGAAGAGACTCTATACCACTGCTCGGCGGCTGCCCTGCTCCAGGCCACTCTCTGCTCCCTGCTTCCTGAGCTCCTGTTCCCCGCTGGAGGGGTTGCTCACAAAGGCCGGGTGGTGGATTGTATCCCAGCTTAAAATACTTCAGAAGGGGGTCTCAGATCCCTGCCAGGGTGGTGTGAGGAAGGGAGGTGTTTTATAGACATTTTTTGAATCAGTGAGGAGACATCGAGCAAATTGTGACCCAGAACCCTCCACTGCCTCCTGAGCTTGGTGTGTCAGTATCATAATTAGTGGTGTTCAGGGACCCAGGGGAAACGCCTGCATTTTTCAGAAAAGCCCGGTGTGACAGTCACTGCTGGGACTCCTTTGCTTTCTGCTGCAATGGTCCCAGCTTCCTTGCCCTTGGGCATGGGGAAGGGCTGCTGAAGGGTTCTCTACCCTCCACAGAGCCCCCCCAGCAGGATCAAGCCCCAGTTATCTGCAAAGGCAAGCTGGTCATTCATTCATGCACCCTTTTTTGGCTTCTTCCCGGTCCCTGCCTCACTTTCGCACTTCTTTACAGGTTCCTGCTGGGGTCATTTTCTGAACAGACTATTTGCATGTAAGTCCTGTCTCTCAGTTGGCTGTGGAGGAACCCAGCCTAAAGCCCTGGGGTAAGCAATATTGGGCCAGGCACTCTTTCAAGGTCTCTCTCTCTCCAAACCCATTCAATCCTCATAAAAACCCTGTGAGGCAGGTGCTGTTGATATTACTCCCATTTCACAGATAAAGAAACTGAGGTACAGAGAGGCTGGGATGCTTGCAAAGGTCGCAAAGCAAATAAATGGGGGAGGTGCGATCCACACCAGCTGTCTGACCTCAGAGCCACAACTCTTAAGAGGAACTCTCCCTCTTATCTGGCTGAGGAAATCAAGGCACAGAAAAGCTAAGGAGCTCACCTAAAGTCACACAGCTACACATTGAGGTGCTAGGATTACTAAGCTGGGATGCTTAGCCACCTTGCTCCCCTGTTCCTCACACTGATCCTGGTCTGTGCACTCCCTGGGAGGAGCTGGGTGCCACGTTGCCCCACAGGCCACCTAGGGTTTGGCATACCACACACAATGGGCAGAGCCTGCCGAATCAAGCACCACATGGCTTATGTGAGATCTGCTGATTGAGGAAAACCACGTGCCCATGAAGATAGGCATCAGGTGTTCTTCTCCGAGCATTGGCCCTCCATCCTGCCAAGGGTGCTGCAGTGAGGGGGGTGACAGTCTCCGGATGTTGGGGGCCTATATCTGTACGGTCTTCTGCTCGGCGTGGAGACTGGAGATGGCCAGGGAACAGGTCCTGGGGTCGCCGGTGGCACTAACCGGCAGTCGCTAAGTGCCAGGCCCTCTCCTGGGGTTTTGGGGGCAGAGGGCTATCACGGGCAGCTGCTCCTGGCTTGTCGCCGCTTGGTGAATGAGGGAGCAGAGGAAGGGATGCCATCTCACAGGGTGTGGGCTAGAGAATGATCACCTATGCCTCGTGAGAGGCAAACATCCCCATTTTCCTGACCGGAGAATCCGAGGCTGCGAGAGGTTGTGATCTGGCGCAGGGTGACTCAGGGTGCGAGGACAGGACTGGGATTTGGGGCTTCCTGACGTCACACCCACACTCTTGCTCTCCAGTTACGGAGCCAGGATTGGAAGCAGGGGGAGCTGAGGGTGTGGAAGGACAGGGTGGCGGGGGGTGGGGTGGGTAGCTGGCAATGGACGTTGGGGGGTGTGGCTGGAGTGAGGACAGGGTCCTGATGAGGTAGAGGTGTCCTCTGGCTGGGCTGCCCTTCACTGGGCCCCACGCGTCCAGGCGGCCCTCTCTTCCTCTCAGAGATCTCTTATGTGTTTGAAGACCATTTTCTTGTAGCTTCCCCAGAATTGTGTTTTATCCAAGTGGAACACCTTCTGCTCCTCCCCTTGTCCTTCTCATGACAGCCCAGTAAGCCTTTGGGAAAGACAGCAGCGGTTCTCTACAATCCTTCCAGAACGTGCTGTCCAGCACTCCCTCAGGCACCCAGGGCTGACTGCCCCACAGAGAGCTGAGGGCCTTTGTCACCTGCCTACTCCACGATTCCTATCAGTGTGGCCAGGTCCCTGTCCTCTTCCCAAGGGCCAGCCATAAGTTGAGACCCTCAGTCCGGATCCAGCTGCCATCCCCTAGATCCTGGACACGGGCTGTTGGTTTTTCCTGGATGGGTGCAGGCTTTGTCACTTGGCTGGTTGCATTTGACTTTGACCTGCTGGAGAGCCAGCTGTCCTTCTTCAGTACCTGCTCCCCTCCCTCTTTGCATGTGTGAACCACTGCTTCTAGGAACCTGTGCTCAGATCCTACCGAGAACGTGTGAGAGGACAAGTGTTATCGCGTCTGTTCTTATCATGAGTGCTTATCTCAGAGCTTCATCTCTTCTGTGGGTTCCATAGCTCGCACTGACTTTCAGGTCCTCAGGAGGGAGGGGGGAGAGACATTAGCAGAGGGCTGTAGGGGTGAGGACGGAGTGGCCCCTGGGACCTTTGGTGTGAGGCCTCCCTCTGCCAGCCCCCGAAGCATGTTCTCCTGCCCAAGGCAGGTCAAGGAAGGGCTGTGGGGGTGGTTGGGCAATGTACCCCTGTGGTAGGTGGGAGCGTCCCCGTGGAAGGGGTAGCAGGTCATACCCCATGGTGTCCAACAGCCATGTTTCTCAAACTTTGGGGGGCATCTCAATCCTATGGAGGGCGTGTTGCAAGACAGTCTTGGGCCCTGACCACAGACATTATGACTTGATACGTCTGGGGTCGGCCTGAGAATCTGCATTTCCCTAAGTTCCCAGGGGCTGCTGCTAGTCCTTGGGCCACGTTCTGAGAGCAGCAATGTGCAGGGGGAAATCAGTGGTTCAGGAAGAGCTTTCCTGCTTCACTTTTCCAGAAAGGGTAGGGCCAAGCTCACCATCACCCGACCATTTATTTACCCACCACATATTTATGGAATGTTTACTCTGTGGCTGGAGCTTGGAGTTCAGCAGGGAACGGGGCAGTTGTGGTCCCTGCCAGAGGGTGTGTACGTACGCCATCTTGGGCATGGATATTAAACACTTGAATCTCAAAACTTTCCTTCGGGGAAGGCTGAGCAGAAATCATTTTCCCTGTTTCCCAGGTGAGGAAATAGCACTGGAGAGAGGTCACATGACTTGCAGAATGGCAGTGGCAGAATCTGAACTCAGGACATTACTCAAAATGGGGCTGCTGTCCCCTGGCTGGGAGCCATCTCTACCTTATGGGGCTGGGCTTAGGGGGCCAAGCTACAGGCCCTGGTGTCAGTAGGTGACAGCGGGGGGCTTCATCCTTATGTATGGAAGGAAAGCTTGATAGATATTCATACACTCCCATGCCCACACCCACGACTCTCAGTTCCCAAGA